GGGAGAAAGAGATGGTTCGGAGATCCCCGCCCCCCAGTGCGCCCCCGGGCGCCAAAACAGTGCCAGCAGAGTGAAATTGAAAAAAAATGACGGTTTCAATTAATTGTTTTTCACTATCAATTTTTCAGTACATTTTTTTCAGTTTCAATATTTTTTTCATATTCATTTCAAGGTGGCATCGTTCTGATCCCATTGTGCAGGTTCACTATGACCGAAGCGCCACACTCACACTGACTAAAACACCATGCAAGTGTTACATGTTGGAAAATCCAGAGCAGTTTAAAGTTCAGGAAAGTTTCTTCATGGTTAGAGGTTGAAGTTGCTGATTTAAAGATGTGTGTTAAATAGTCTTTTATGATTGGTCAGAATATGAGATGTTAAGTTAGATGTTAACTCCCAGAAATCTTGAAAGTCAAGCAAATACATCCAGAGTCTCTGAGCCAACTGAGCCCAAAAGCAACTGTAACCCTGTGATTATTACAGTAAACATAGTAGTCTCTTCTGTGTGTTTTACTTTATAAAGACATCGATGGTGAGAAACACAAATGTTTTGATAGAGAATTTTGCTGAAGCACACTCATCCTCAGTCACAGATTGCTGTCTTTATTTTTCTGTCCTTGTTTGTACTGATGGTCACAGTTATCCAGTGCATCACTGTTTCACAGGAAAGTATTGTTAAGATGTAGCGATGGCCAAACTGGCCAGCAGATGTCACTCTGTGGCTCGATTGAATTCCAGCCCAAGTGTTTCAGTGTTTCACGAAGCCTCGCTTCATCCATCACTAATCAGAGCCGCGCACTACCTCCTGTGCCCCTCCTGCTCAGGCTCCAGATTTTCTCAGAGTCTTCAAACCTCAGAGAACAACTGGGCTGGAACATTCTAAGGGAAAGAGTAAGATTTGGACTGTCAGTCAGTATTATTGGTAGCTTCTTTAATCACTCACACCAGAACTGACATGATCTCAGCCTGAGGCCGCCTCACTTTCAGTCACTGACCATTATTTTGTTGCCAGAAACCGCTGGCTTTCATTTTATTTCTCTGGTTGCTTCGTCCTGCTGGTCACTTCCTGCGCGGATGCCTTCAGATCCCTCTAAGCATTTTGCCTACTTTCACATAACGTCTGACTAATAACCTATAAAATAGCGCTGTCTTTTTTGCAGATATCTTCTTTTTAAAAACAAATATGTGTATATGACAACTGTTCTTAAAAGAACAAAAACATCAATAATCAGCAGATTTAAAATCTGTTCTTGAGAAAAGCCTGTAGTATCCAAGAAACAGTTTGACTCCTTATTTATCTGCTTTGTCTACTGAGTATTATTGTATTGTACCTTACAGTATTAAGCACCTTGAGGCAACTGTTGTTGTAATTTGGCACTATATAGAAAAAAATGAATTAATCGGAGTTTGTAACCACACCAAAGTATAGTTTAATAGTTTAATATCATATACCTGACATTTCCAGGACGCCTCTTCTTTCTGTTATACACGAACAGTTTAGCAGGTTGTTGCACAGATCCTCGCTGCTATAGGCCTGTAAAGATTAACTTAAAGCATCATGTTAGAACTCAGTTAACAAGCTGTTAGCATCTGTCCTATCTGTGTTTCAGTTTTACCGTCAGATGTCTGCAAAGTGATTGTTGGTGAAGAAGAGCAGCAACAGTGGAGCCCCCTCCTGGACTCAGAGCACACACACATCAAAGAGGAGCAGGAGGAAGCCTGGAGCAGCCAGGACGCAGATCAGCTTCGACGTCCGCAGGAGGCCTGTGTCACCATATTAACATTCAGTCCCGTGAAAAATGAAGAAGATGCTGAGGAGAAACCAGAGTCCTTGCAGCTTCATCGCCATCAGACTGGAATGACAAAAGAAACCAGGAACTCAGACCCAGAAAGCCATTCAGAGCCAGGAACTGACAAAGCTTCAGACTCTTCTGAGACCGAGGTGAGTGACGGTGACTGGGAGCAGAACAAGGAACCTCAGTCAGGTCAAAAATGCCGGAAAAACCACAACTTCACTATTATCGACATTAACTGTAACATTGAGCGATCGTTCAGCTGTTCCGAATGTGGTCAGAGGTTTGGCAGAAAGCCACACCTCAAAGCACACATGAGAATTCACACTGGAGAGAAACCCTTTAGTTGCTCTTTTTGTGGCAAAACATTTTCTCAGAAAGGAAACTCCATCAGCCACATGAGACTTCACACAGGAGAGAAACCTTTCAGCTGCTCCATCTGTAAGAAAAGTTTCAGATACAGTGGTGACGTGAGCAGGCACATGAAAATCCACACAGGACTGAAAAAAGGCCGCAGCAAGGTTAGCGACATGGTCAGCAGTGGCATTCATGTGAGGTCAAGACCTGGCGGGAGCTTACATCCAGACACTTCCTTA